CATATTTACATCAAAACATATTTTCCGAATCCTCATCTTGGCTCTAAAAATCATATTAAAATAATTCCAAATGCCCTGATTTCATTATCTGTTTGTAGAAATTTCTGGATAGCAAAAAATTTTCATTGATTTTTCTCGTGCGCTTCTATAAAGTTCATGCATCTCTGGTATTTTTCTCGTCAATAATCATTTCATTCTTAATAACAATTTTTAAATTTATTTTCAATTATTATATATTAATTATTACTGCTATCATTCAAGTCAGTATACAATAAATGTTTACTCCCCATATATGTTGATTAAATAAAGGAGCTTGTGTATTTTAACGCATAAACAGCCGAGTTTCATTCAGTTTACCGTATGAGCTACGAATAGTATTTAAGCATCGCTGTGAAGGTCATAGTTATAGTGTATATTCTCAGAAGTGAGTAATACAGATTTTCCGTAAGTCAGCTTTGGTAAAAATAACTGTTTTATGAACTGGAATAATTAATTCATGTGAATTTGTTATGCTTTTGCATAATACTCTATTTGTTAAGAGAACAGAAAAATGCGCTTAGGAAATGTTTAAAACAAATAATTAACATTAATCATCAAATGAAACAAATTATACGATATTTTTACCATAATACAATTATTTTTAAATATACTGAAGCTGTGTAGTGAAAGACAGTTATTTTAAATTTATAGCTTAAAAATCTTCTAAAATTGTAATTTGTCGATGGAGTAATAATGGTGAAAAAAAATGCCTGTTTTGTATAACTAATATAACTCAGTATAAATATTTATTTCCTGTAATTTAGTTTCCATAACCACGTTTCCCAGCTACTGACTTTTGTACCTATAACTATTTGTTCAGTATTATAGATTAAGCAACAAATGGCTAATTTGGAAATGAAGATTGTAATTAACTAATTTGGAGTCTATGATTGTGTTGATTTATAAAAGCTTTTAATTTAAAACAAAACATTTCGTTATATAACAAGATAATAAAATAGGTAAATGTCCAATAAAATATAGTACTAAAACGGTTTTTCTTTCATCCAGTTATCAAAATAATTTAGCTTTTTTTCTGGAAGGAAAGCAATTAAGGAAAAAAAGAAATGGAGAACAGGAAACAGTATTAAAAGCCAAACTGTTAAAAAAAAGTTTATATAGATATATGATAAACATAAATGGATTACAGTTATATAACCTTAACAAGGTGAGATACAACTTCAGTAAGATGAGGAAATTTCAAATGATTATATTGGATATTTTCAATTATTTAAAAATTTCGAATATTATGGATGTATTTTAATACCTTGAAAAGTATAATACCTTACTAGATCATTAAAACATTGTTGTAGTTACCTGTTCTCTAAAATAGGAGTTCATCACTCTAATTATTTAGAAAGTAATTCAGTGTTGCATGACATCAATTTACATCTTTAGTGACATTATATTCATGGCACTTTATTACGTTGCATTCATGTCACTCTATGGCTTTAAGTCGAAATGAGTTGTTACATGAATGTTGCAGTGTAACTTCACAACAAAGTCACAGCGTGACTTCACAGTAATGTCACAATGTGACTTCACATCAAAGTCCCAATCTGACCTCACATCAACGTTGCAATGTGACATCGCAAAAAGGGGACATTAAGCCATTCCTACAACATTACGGCGACATTGAAGTCGTCACAATGCGACATGTTTGCAATGTTGCAGCGACGTGCCATGCTGTTGGGGATGACTTGTAACATATCAAATATCCCTCAAAGAATTTATAAGCCTGAAAGAAAAGGAAAAATTGCTGAAAGATTGCGATACATTTGGTAAATACAGCCAAAGAAAAGCTGCTTTTACAATGGGGATTTCCCAAACAGCATTGTGCAATTTACTTAAACACAAAAATTGCCAAAGAACTAGTAAAAAATAAAAATGTCTCAAGGAAGCATAAAATGGGTGGAAAATTGAGAGACTTTGAAACCGCTGTTCAAGAATGGTTTCAAGCTATAAAACTTTAAAATGTTCCAGTTTCTAGAACTCTTTCGACCACAAAAAGCTGTTGAATTCACTAAAATGCTAGGAGAAAATTTTGCGCCAACTGATGGATGACTCACAAGATAGAATGAGAGAAATAACATTGTTTATCAGCAACTACATGGTGAGAAGCAAGGAGCAGATCATCATTCGGCTGAGAAATGGATAAAAGACATTTTGCCAGGGCTTCTAAAAGAATGCAAGCCATACAAAATTTATAACACAGATTAAACTGGTACAGAGAATTACCAGTGTACACATTAATGTTTAAATGTGAAAGAGCAGCTGGTTAAAGAAATTAAAAGAATGAGTTACTGTTATTAATGTGCAATATGGATGCAACATTTTTAAAGACACCAGTGGTTATTGAAAAGAGTTTAAAAGGAGTCAAGATTTATAACTGCAAAATAACAGGAACTCATGGAAGGCAAGCAGTATTTTTACTGATTTCCTTTTGAAATGGGGCAGAGAACTGAAAAATGAAAAAAATAGCTTAACTGTTAGATAACTTGTGCTGCACACCCCTCTTATACTGTTCTCAAAAATATTAAATTAGTGTTTCTTCCTGTAAATATGACTTCCATCATTCAAACATTAGACTAAAGGTATTATAAAAGCTTTCAAATGCAATTACAGAAAAGATGTTGTTCAAAAAAGATGAATAAAATTGAATCTCATGAAAATGTAAGCATTTTGAAGGAGATAACTAAATTAATACCTTTACTAGAAACTGTGCGTATTTTAGTCAATGTATGGGAAATAGCCTCCCAAAACAAAGTTTGAAATTGCTTTACAATATGTGGTTGCAAACTATTTCTAATATTTCAGACATTCAGTGAAGAAAATTACGAAGATTTACTTTTAGAATACACTGCAATTGATGATAATATTGAGACAACAAGTGAAAACACTGACTACGATATTACAGAAAATGTTAAAAGAGCTGCAGAAACTGAAATTGACAGCGAAAGTTAGACAGAAGAAAGTGACTTGACAGAAGAAAGTAATTAATGTATTTATTAATAGATGGTATTATAATCAAGTTTTGAATGCAGTTCACAAAAATTTTCAATATACGCTTCTTTTGTTACACAGCATACATCAAGTCTGTAATGCAATTCTTGCCAAACCTTGTGTAGCATGCGACAGAAGTACTGATATGAACTTTCAAATCATTCATTAGACATTGAACTTGGAGGCACATACATGTGATCCTTTATGAACCCTCTAAAAAAATTACATGGGGTGAGATCTGGGAAATCTGATGGCAAGGTAACAGTGCTTTGTTTAGGGCACATATAAGAACAATCTATCTTTGTGGTAGCATATTACTGAGGTAGTTCCGCACTTCAGTTAGAAAATGTATTGATGCGCCATCCAGTTGCAAAATAAAGCTAGGCAGGCCATCTTGTAATAGTGACAAAAGCCATGCAGCATATTGAGATATAAAATTCCTATCACAGTGGTTTCAGCAAAAAAGAAGAGTCCATAGATCTTTTTATGGGATAATGCACAAAACACATTGACCTTCAAGGAATCATGTTCATATTGCACTGTTGAGTGTGGATGTTCAGAATCCCAAATACTTGTGTTAATGCTTATTCAATAATTTGGAAATGTGAAATATTGATTCATCACTGAACACTAACCTTTCAGAAAATACATCATCCTCCATCAAGAAAAATAATCGACATGTCAGGTCTTCTCGTTTCAGTTGTTGCACCAGCTGCAAACAATATGGTTCAAATGATTCCTAAGAACTCTTCACACAGTTTTCTGCAGTACACTCAGTTCTCATTCAGCTCAATTTGTAGATTTTTGAGGCCTTCTCATATATGGTCTTCTAATAAGTCTTTTTCCACTGAAGAATGACCCACTGAGTTTTCTTTGAAAATGCTGCCTCTCTCTTGAAATGGTGAATACCAACAATAAATCACCTTATCCGGCACTGTCTATCTATATTTCATGTGAAATTAGAGCTCAGTAGTGATAATAAACTTACTCACATGATAACTCAAGCACAGAGAACAATTTCTGCTGCTGCATTGCCATATTACAAAGGTGTAACTGAATGCAGCATCTTCCTTCTTTGTCTTCATATAAACTCATTTTTCCAGATGTTTACAGTGACTTATGTGACTTTATATGACTTAAAGCACCATGTATTGGTGAAATATAAAATTGCAAATTGCTGTTCATAACTTATGTGTAACTAACCTTTTACAGTGTGTATCTTTAAAATAAATACATTAACTACATTTTGCACAGTAAAGCTTTGAAATCTACCATTTAGTTTAACTTACCCTGTTACAGTTGCCACTCAAACAGGAGAATGAAATCCAGACTTTTACAGGTTTTTCAGGTGTGTTTTAAGAAAATCCCAGTCTATGTACATAGTGCGTGTTGGCTGTGCTGAGAGTTAATTAATTATGATACCATTTGAAAAAACAAAAATTTGCCAATTACATATAGCTTATATTGTCTATCTACTTTCTATGAATTTCTGGATTCTGAAGGTTACTGGATACCAAAAATGCTGGGAACTTGCTTTGCCTTTCTGAAAGACAATTTGATTGGTGCTGCAAAAACTGGCTCTATACTAGCTGCCTGAATGACGCTCACAAGATACACAATTTGCCAAGAAAGTGATAGCTTTCAATACTGTCCTGAAAATCACTATTTTAGGGGGATTGCCCTATGAAATTTCCAGTTTCCAGATTTTGACTGCAATATTTAAATTTTCTGACTTTTCCCTGACTTTTTTGGTCAATTTTAGAACTCTGCAACTTTTCCCAGATTTTCAGGCCCCATGACAACCCTGTCTGTATATACATTTTTAAAATGACTAAATTGTTTTTACATGATTTTATGAATAAGAAATTTTAATGAACCTAATAAGTGCATATTTAAATAAAATACTGCATATAATAGTCAGGAAGTTACACTAGTCGTCATAAATCAAATTCATAACTTACCTTTAGTTTCATCATTTTCTTGTTGTTTCAAAGCCTGGCACATTTTATACTGAGCTTGCTTTAATTCTTTGCGAGGCAGAGAAAGGAGCTTGTATTTTGCAGTGATGGTATCATTAAAGGCATCTACAAACTTGTTTATTTGGTCATATCGAATTCTTCCTTTCATGTATCTAAAAATTATTAAAATTTACAAAAATTCATTTTTTTAATTAAAAATAATTTTAAATAATTTCACACATTTAGAACAGTTCAGAAAATGTGTCTGAAAATCGTGTTTTTAAAATACACAAAAATATAGGTATACTCATTTTTTCAAAAGTTTACTTAAAACTACATAAATTTTACAAAAGATCTGTTTTTACTTTTTCAATTATCAAAGTCTACAGATATTTCTGTACAGAATTTTCATTTTTATGGCATGGGCCAGACAGCAAAAGTATCTTTCAACTTTTGTTTTATGCAATGACTAAGGAAACATATGATTTAAATTACAAAACAATATTAATGCAGTTTTACAGAATGTTTTGATCATCAATCAAAAATTGTATGCTAGGAGAAAAATGGAACAATCATCATGTTGTATATCAAACCTTCCAAATGACACAAATGATAAATTAAGGCAAACAGACAGCTTTTAGCATCTTTTATTATTATTATTATTATTATTATTATTATTCCTTCATTATCAAGGACCTTCAGTAAAAAATCCTCCACACTCCACACAAAGACTCCTATATGTTCTATTACCAAATCTTTGGTGATGCAGTTTCAACCTTCCAGCTTTTAAGTGATTAAACAGTAATACATGTGTGTGTATATATATATTTATTTATTTACATAGGTTTTGGTTCTACTTTAACTAATGTAATAAATAAACACTTTATATAATAAATACCATGTTTCCTCATATATTTCCCCCCTAGCGTTTTACTTACAGGTTCTGAAAATTTTTAACATATTCGCATAATTTTAACCTTCCTCAGTGCATTCATAGAATGAGTTTCCTAAATTTTAACCCTCTGATTAACATGAATAAGCTCAGCTCGCATTCCAGTTACACACTGCAATGGGCATAAACGAATAAGCTTGCATTACAGGCTTGCAACTGACAGATATTGTACATATTTGGGAAGAAAGTATTGCTTAATCTTGCAATAGCCAAAGGATTAAAATGGATTTATTCACATAGTGATTGTTTTTATCTTACTAACAAAGATAAATACTACTTCTACTAAACTACATCTGAATTTCATGCCAAACCTTTCCATTGCAACTTTTGAACTTAATGCCAGTCTAATACAAGAATTGACTAATCATAGCAAAACAAAGACACGCTCACATGATCTACGATTTGTTAAGTCAACTGCTCATTCACCTTCTCTAATTATTTATGGATTCTGAGGCCTAAGGAATAAGAGAGACAACAATAATAGCTCAGATTCCAGTTACAAGGAAGTAGAAATCAAGATACCTTAACTTTATTATACATTGTAATGTTAATATTATTATGTATTCTTATTAGAATGCAAGTTTCTTATAAAGAAATAATATTGTGATAGTTAACGGTAGTTTATACACAGCTCCTTTTCATTTGTTTTGTTCATTACATAACCATGTCCTTTTGAAGTTAAATTACTCATAAAATCTTCCACTCTCGATTTTTAGACAATAAAATTAATGAAAAGGGGAGGAAATATGCAAGGAAATATAATATACACATAAAAATTATCATAAAAACTTTATTTTGCACCAGTACACAAAAATGTAAACCTAACTGACAGTTATATCTTTACAGTTCTGACCTCTCACCATTACCAATTTATTATTATATATAGTATATGTCATATTATTGGTAATGGTAACATTAATTTCGAGCCTTGAACTTTTAAGGCTAATCCGGTGCAAGAACTGTTAATCTTAATCAATGGTAAGAACTGGTCAGCGTTCAGTTAAGCCTATTTTTATATCGCTCAATCTTGTTTTGGGCTGTGAGAGACTGTATTATATTATGTCGCATTTGACTACTATAGAAGAGCTCAAAAAAGATAATTTTGACAGATGGAAATTACAAATAAAAGCTGTATTGATTAGAAACAACCATTGGGATTATGTAACCGGTAAAGAGCTAAAACCTGCTGAAGGAACCGAAGACAGAAAGAAATGGCTCCACGCTGATCAAAATGCTCATGCAGATATAATTCTTGCTATTAATCCTAGTGATTTGGGTCATTTAAAGCATTGTGTGGAATAAACTCAAATCCGTATATGAATCGAAAGGACCTGCGAAGAAGGCTACATTATTAAAACAGCTTTTATTTAGAAAAATGGCGGAAAGCGAAACGATGTCTGAACATTTGAATAATTTCTTCGAAATAGTTGATAAGCTTAAACAAATGGAAATTGACATAGCTGATGATTTATTATCGATTCTTCTGCTCTATAGTATTCCAAAAAATTTTGAAAATTTTAGATGCGCCATCGAATCAAGAGATCAGTTACCTAGTCCCGAATCTTTGAAAATCAAAATGTTAGAAGAATGGGAAGCAAGAAAAGGGAAAACGTCTCAAGATTCACAGAATGCATACTATACTAAAAAAAGAAAAAAGAAATCAAGAAAAAAAAAAAAAAAAAGAAAGAAAGAAAGAAAAAAGAAAAATGGAAGGTAAATTCAAACAAAAATTTTCCTGCTGAAAAAAATTATTGAAACTTTAAGTGTAATTACTGTTCAAAAATTTGGCACAAGGCATCTGATTGCAGGAAGAAAATAGCTGATAGAAAATATGCGCAATCAAATAAGGGAAATCAAGGTTCTATGATGGCTTCTAATTATGAAGAGCAGATTAGTTTAGCAGTAAACAATGCTTATCAGAAGACCTCCTCATGGTGCTTAGATAGTGGCTGTACATCTCACATGTGCAATGACAGAAGGTTATTTTCAGAATTTCACCCTCGAACGAATTCAACCATAAAGTTAGCAGTTGAAAAAACATCAAAAATTACAGGAATTGGAACTGTCCTTATAACAGCACCTAATGGAAATAAGACAATTAAACTTAACCTTAAAATGTGTTATGTGTTCCGGAATTAAAATGTAATTTGCTGTCAACATCTAAAGCTACTGCAAATAATCGTTCAGTGATTTTTACAGAACGACATGCTTGAATAATAGAACCAAATGGATCTATACTAGTGCAGGCTATTCGTCATGATGATCTTTATTATATACATCCAAGCACTGAAACAGCTGCAATAGCACAGGTAAGTGATTTTGTAAAGTGGCATCTTAAAATTAGGTCATTTAAATGAGTCTGATTTGAAAAGACTTAAGTCTGATAACATGGTTAGAAATTTAAATTTTAATAACACTGAATCTCTAAAAGACTGCAAAGTCTGTATCCGAGGTAAACAAACTGTGCAACCTTTTCAAAAAGAATCAAAATTTCAAAGTGATGAATTACTGAACTTGATTCACTCAGATTTGTGTGGACCTATGAGAGTCCCATCCCATGCTGGTTCGCGTTATTTTGTTACTTTCATAGAAACGACAAATCGCGTTATGTGTCGAAGTCAGTTTTTTTAAAACTAAAGATGAAGTGAAAAATGCATTCATTAAATACAAAGCTGCGGTCGAAAATCGTCTAGGAAAGAAAATAAAAATCCTTCGGACTGATAACGGTCTCGAATATCGCGGAGAAGAATTTAATAAATATATTCAAGAATGCGGGATTAAACGAGAATTCTCTGCACCAATGACTCCTCAACAGAATTCGAGATAGCTGAACGCATGAACCGCACTTTAACTGAAATGGCCAGATGTTTGTTACTACAAAGTAATCTTCCCAATCCTTTTGGGCTGAAGCCTTGAACTGTGCTGTATTATATCGTTAATCGTTGCCCGAATCGAAGCCTGGGAGTAAACAAAACACCTTATGAGTTATTTTTTGGCATCAAGCCAACTGTATCTCACTTCAAAGTATTCGGACAGAAATGTTTTGTACTTAATAAAAGGTCTAAAGGGAAATTCGATCCTCGATCAGAAGAACATATATTTGTAGGATACTCAAATGAATCGAAAGCATACAGGCTGTGGAATAAAAATTCCAGAAAAATCGTTATAAGCCGAGATGTTAGATTCATTGATGAATTTGAAAACTGTACTAATTATGATAAAGATTTAGAAGTTTTATTTCTCGAAAATATTCCTGATAAAAAGAAGGAAGAACCTCTGAATGTAAAGCAAATATCGGCTGATGAAATAACAGAAGACCCCTCAAATATGGCAGAAGCATCTGCTGAATCATCTGATAATGAAGATTCTGATTCCGAAGCAATACCTGAAATGCAGATTAAAAGGGGGCCAGGTCGTCCAAAGAAAGTCAAGACTGGGAAGCCAGGAAGACCAAAAAAGGAGTACCACAATATAAACATAGAAAAGGAAGAAGCACAAATTGCTGAAGAAGATACAAATCCGACATTAGAAGAAGCATTAAATGGAAGTTATGCTGAAGAATGGCATAAGGCTATGCAAAGTGAGTATGAAGCACTTGTTAAAAATGGTGCATGGAAATTAGTAAAGCGACCACAGAACAAAAAGGTAATAGGATGTCGCTGGGTTCTTAGAACGAAATATAATGCAGATGGAACAGTTCAAAAGAGAAAAGCTCGATTGGTTGCTAGAGGATTTGCACAGGAACCTGGAATTGATTTTAATGAAACCTTTGCTCCAGTAGCCAGAGCAAGTTCTATAAGAACTGTGATTGCATACAGTGCTGAACAAGACCTTATGTTATAATCAACTAGATTTTGTTATGGCTTATGTTAACGGAGATTTAAAAGAAGAAATTTTCATGGAACAAGCTAAAGGTTTTGAAGACCAAAATAATCCTGATTATGTTTATGCTTTGCAAAAGTCTCTTTATGGTTTGAAACAAAGTGGACGACAGTGGTATGAAAAATTAGACAAAAAACTCAAAAACTTTGGATTACAACCATTACAATCAGATAAGTGTGTATACAGGATGAAAACATCTCAAGGTGAGTTAATTCTAATTTTATATGTTGATGACTTAATAATAACAACAAATAGCTGTGATTTATATGCTGAACTTAAAGATTATCTTTCTAAAGAATTTCATGTTAATGATTTAGGCAAACTTCATTATTGTCTTGGAATAGAATTTAATCAAGATGCAAATAATAATTCTATTAGTTTATCTCAGCAGAAATATGTTGATAACATTCTACGAAAGTTTAACATGCAAGATGCAAAACAAGTAGTTTTGCATCTTGCATTATTAAATCCAGTAGCAACTAACTCCTTTAGATTTTAGTCTAAAATTAAGTAAAGAAATGTGTCCTTGTGAAACTAAAAAGGAAGAAACGGACAATGTACCTTATCACCATCTAATTGCTTCACTTATGTATCTTTCTGTGTTTATTAGACCGGATATTACATACACCGTCAGTCACCTGAGCCAATTTAATAACAATCCTGGAAAATTGCACTGGTTGGCTGCAAAGCGCATTCTTTGATAAGGAACAAATATTATTGTTTAAAATTTCGAAAGACAGGAAAAGCACTTATTGGATATACCGATGCCGACTGGGCGTCTGATGTTAATACTAGAAAATCGTATACAGGTTACCTATTCAAGCTAGCTGGAAATCCGATAACATGGGAATCACGAAAGCAACAAACTGTTGCATTATCAAGTACTGAAGCAGAGTACATCAGTCTTTCAGAAAGTGCCAAAGAAGCAGTTTATTTACGTCGTTTTCTTAAAGAATTAAATTTTACTGCTGATTATCCAACCATTATATATTGTGATAATCAAGGTGCACAGAAGCTTATGAAAAATGCTGTTTATCACTCACGCACTAAACACATAGATATTAGACATCATTTCATTCGTGAAATTTATGAAAGAAATGAAATAGACGTTAAATATGTGCCAACAGAGAAAATGCCTGCTGATGTACTGACAAAAACATTTTGACTGCTTCGAAACATTCTAAGTGATGTAAATTAATTGGAATAACTGTAAATGATTAATGTTTACATTTTTTTTTTCAGCCGCCAAACACTGAAAGGGGCATTGTTGTATCATAAATTATAATACGACGTTTAGCTCAAGAGCGCTTCTCCTGCTGCATGCGCCGTTGGCATTTATCCGCGCGGTGATGATGTAACTGTTTGTTATGTATATATATACTATTCTTACTTCTTCCTTTTTCTCTGCTGTACGAAGCAATACTTAAGTTAATCTCTCTTATTAAAAATGTTCAAAGATGTTACAATCTGTTTAGGCTTATTTATTTCTTCAGCATTAGTAAATGAAGAGAAATAATTTTTAAAATACAAATCTTGAAATTTTGAACAAAATAATTATTTACATAATTGCAAAATATAAACTTTGATGATATTTTAGAGTTCACATTATTAGATTTTTTTCAGGGAAGCCTTTGCAGAGCTTTACATACAATATCACAGTTGTAAAAATTTTGCACATACATTACGTATTTTGAATAATCACAACTATTTTCAAAATTTTCAAAATTTAACATCATAATATGTATAATAGTAAAATTAAAAGTTTTTTTTTTTTTTTTTTTTTTTTTTAACTGTTATTGTTACATTTCAACTTTCTTATTTTGCAGAAAACTAAAAGACCCCAAAGCTTTCTCTAATACAAACATTTCCATCTGTTGAGCAAATCTACTTAAAACTGACCGATTTATATCATCAGTGGTTAAGGGCTGCACTGGCAGTTACTTATAAAGATTATTGCTTTGTTATTTTTAGGATGAAAACGGAAGTTAAAAAGTTATTATTAATTTATTATTTGAAAGATAGATATTTTATATCTTACATATACAGTCAAAAGTCGTTAATTCGGACTCGTCCGAGACTTCGGCGATTCCGGATTATCGATTTTTCTGGATTATAATCATCAGTTAAATCTGGTAAGATGGCATGCAGAAATTAAAAATTAAAAAATGAAATGGTAATTAGAAAAAAGAACATATGATAATTGCTTCGTTTATGTGATAATACTTTCTCTTTTTCTATCATAATTTCTTGTTTTACAAATTTAAGTCTATAATTCTGTGTCGAATACCCTAATTTGTCAATCGAATTTTTCGTTTTCATAACCTCTGTGGCACTTTCTTCACTATCAAAGCGAATTATAATGAAGAGGAATTTGATTTAAATCATATCAAAGACGGAGTACATCAAGATGAAATACTACATTTAGTAAGGAATTATAAGCCAAATAAAATAAAACATCTGCCCTGAAGATAAGGATAGTTCTGACAGATGAACTTCCAATTCATTGCGTGCTGCAGCATTCCCCCACCCCCACCCCGCCACAGAGCAGCGTGAATTTGATAAACAGATTTCGGAATGGTTAGAGAAACAAAGAATATGCCTTTATCCATTTTTTGCAGCAATTCCACTTCTTGTTTAATGGACTTCGAAACATACTTTCGCTTTGTAGATCCTTTATATATTAGTAATTATATATCGGAAATTCTATTTGACATAATCGAAAGTTCAAGCTTACTTTTATAAAATTGCTCTAACAGTTTGCAAAAAATAATAAGCCGGATCCAATTCGAAGATTAAGGAACAATGCAATCTGCAACATTAACTGAATTAGATAATTTTAGCTTAGCTTATATCGTCCGTTATACATTAAACGCACATGTGCACATGCATATTCGCAGCCGTAAAGGTCAACGCGACGCATGCGCAGAAAGTCTGTAGCTTTGAGATCCGGATTATGGGTGTCCGAATTAGTGACTTTTGACTGTATATATATTTGTGTGTGTAAGTATGTATGTAACGAAGCAGTCTTAGACTTAATAAATGATGTTGTTGAAACAGTTGATGTAGATGGTGAAATATGGCATTTCATTCATTGTAATAAGGCAGACATTGTGATGAAACAATAGACTTAAATGTAACATAGATAGCAATAGTAGATGTAGCATTATATGGATAGTATAGAATACAGAATATTGAATCTGTAATGAACAGCAATCTTGGCAACCAAGGCAGATTAAAATATTCATCTTTTATTTTAATTGACATTTGCAGCCACAATTCGCTTTACACTCTAAAAGTGCCTATTCAAGAATCATTTACATTTCTGATATTGTTGCAACAGGGAAATAACAGCAATGCACCTTAGAACAGAGGTGAAAGCAAAGTGTGTAGTTATCCAATATGGCAGCTTCATTTTCGGTTAAATTCTGAATTAGCTACGTCATTAATATTATGCAAGTCATTTGATATGAATTGATCTGGAAATGGTGCAGTCCAGAAATAGTTATTACTACTTTTAGAACAAAGGGGGACTATTGCCAATTTACATTATAATTTTGATTTATACATTGTAACTATTAAAAATTTATAAAATGACAGTTTTTTTAATAAAATTAACATGTAAACACTAAATACATACTTTGGAACTGATTCAAATTCTTTTAGAGTCAAATATTGCATCCTTGTAGGAATCTTACTTTTCTTCTCTACAGTAGGCACAACACTCTTTATGGAATTTTGAGTTTCCCTGTAGAAAAATTGTCAACAAATACATATTGTATGATTCAATAAACTAATATATAATATGTTTATATTTTAGAATCAAACAGATATTAAAAAGTATTTTTACTCATAATTATACAAATATAACCATACAAAAGTAGTGACTTGAATTGTACTTGCCCCATCATCTTGCAAATAACCACTCCTTAAAAAGAAAAGCTGTGTTATAATTTTTTAATTAAAATCTTAAATGAACAAATATGTTCAAATTGCTCATTAGAACTGAATACAATACAAAGTCCAAGATCCTACTCATCGGACTTCTGCAATTTGGATTTGGTATTTTTCCAGACTAACTCAATTTAAATCAGTAAGATGGCATCAAATTAAACAATAAAAATATGAAATTGATTTATGAAATAAAGAGATTATATCGAAAATTTACAAAAAAAGTTTAATTTATTTACTTTATTAAACATTTCTTTCAACATAAGTTGTTTTGTTTTGCCTAATACTTTCTCTTTAATTCTATAAACAGACATAATTTCCTGTTCAGTTACAAAGTTCCATTGTTCAAGTCCTGTAATTGCTATGTCCAGAACTCTGACTGACTTGCAATCAAAATTTTTTCATTTTCAATAACCTTTCTGTCACTTTCTTCACTTTCGATAGCAGTATTTTCATGATCTAGAACCATACTACAGATTTCACCATCAGTTAATTGATTGATGATTGGGGCATAGTCATCACAATGAAAAACTCTGTTATATCATCTTCATTTATTACCGCTACTCCACATTTGTTTACAAAATCCATTAATTGGAATACTTTGCTTTTGGTTTGCAATATCCGAAATCTTCAAATTTGCGACTATCATCTTCATCATCCTCACCATGAAATACGGTAGCTGGTCATAAATTATTCCAAGCATTTCTTTAAGTATCTGGAGACACATCCTCCCACAATCTTGCGATGCTCCACACAGCAGATTTTATATGCTAAAATATTTCAAAAATTCTTGAATAGTCTTGCAAGACATGTTTTCTTTACTTGGCACTGTTCAAGAAATTTAACATGGATTTTACAAATACTACTTTATATTTGCATTTCAGCCCGACCACTATTCCGATATCCATAGGCTGAATGATGTATGTACAATATGGAGGAAAGAATAATACGGATACATTATCTTTCACTAAAACTAAGTGAAGTATGATCCGAACAGTTGTCTACAATCAGGACAATTTTTGCATCATCAAGTAAACCAACTGAATTCATATGTTATCGAGCCTCAGGTATAAAATGATTTTCAAACCAATCATTCATTAATGCTTCTGTCATCCATGTTCTTTTATTTGCATGATATATAACACAGAAAATCATTACTATTTTAAATGCTCGAGGTCATGCATGATTCCCGATTACGAAAAGTTTGCACTTGTGCATTCCTGCAGCATTTGTGCACGCTAAAATTGTTGATCTCGCTTTGGAATCTTTGAACCAGTTGGAGCCTTTTCTGTAAAGGTTGCCAAGGTATTCTGCGGTACTATTGCTAGAAAAGACCAGTTTCATTAGCGTTGTAAATTTGTTCTGGAGATAATTGTTAACTAGCGATGAGTTCAACGAATTCATCTGCAAATTGTTCAGCAGCTTCAGTATCAGCTGAAGCTTTTTCATCTGAATTCATTGAACTCATCTGAAAATTGTTCAGCAGCTTCAGAATAAGATGAAGCTTTTTCCCCTGAAATTTTTAATTGTCTTATCCATGGCTTTTTTAAATTTTTAACCAACCTGTTAAATATGTGCACTCAGTGTTTAGTTATTCCTTCATGAAATTTGGCTTGCCCTTAGCATTGGACCCGTCAATGCACACACCCTCTCTGCGACGCTGTCTGACCCATTCATCATCTCTTTGTCAGGATCGTCATTTTAGCATAACGAACACTTTCTGTTATTCATTGCAAGTAAGCAAGTGATGGAATCCACAAATAAATTCAAAATGTTCCTTTTTCTTATGTCATATACAGTTGATTTTACAATGCCATACTCCTCGCATAATTTTGAGACGGATATGCCTTTATTCATTTTTTGCAGCAATTCCACTTTTTGTTTAATGGACATCGATGTAGATGCTTTGGCAGCTCCAGAATTGGAATCTCTTTTCGACATAATCGAAAGTTCAAGCTTAATTTTTATAAAATTGCTCTAATAACAGTCTGCAAATAATAAGCTGGATTAAATTAGAAGATTAAGAAACAGTGCAATCTGCTATATTAAGTGAAATTCTTTAGAATCAGTAAAGTATTATTTTAGCCTAGCTTACTTGTGTTCACTATACATTATTGGCTAGGTATTGAATTATCCTCGAGAAATGAGACTAGCTAGCTGCCCAGCAAACAGATTAAGTTTCCAGTTAAGATAATTAAATTAAGTTTTTCTAAGAGGTCTAATTCACTTATAATTGGATTCCTATATGTCTGCTCCATGAGAAAAAGATAACGCTTGTTGGTGCCAATCTACAGCTATAACTAACAAAGAACTTCCGCTATTAACACTTTACCGATAGAAAGCTGTCTGTGCTTGCTATTTCCGTCAATTTATGTTTTGTAGAACAAAAATAGAGAAAGTAAAAAGATAATCAGTCCTTTGGAAAAAAAAAAAAAAAAAAACATAATATTTAAACAATGTAGAAAAGAAGATAGATATATAATATATATTATTTCTTTTAATTTGCATCAGACCGGCAAATTAAAATTCTATCCAGGGGCCAGCGGGCCATAGTTTGTTCATCCTTGGTTTATGTGAATAACATATCAGTTATTTCTTAATTCAAATAGCACTAAATGTAATCTTTTGGTCTCTGAGTTTCATTAACAAAATCTATTTTTAGCTTATGAAAAGAAATTTTTGTTGAATTTTTCGCCATCAACATTTCTTTGCGCATTTAATTGTAAACATCACCAAGCGTAATGTCAGCATAAAAGGTTGCCATAATCTTGTTATTCAATTACTAATATATATAAAAAGAGTTTAGACATCATTGCATGAGTCATTACTCAAGTTATCATGTATTGAAAAACATGCAGTGATGAAAGCAAAATATAATAAATAATGATTCACTAGGTCAGCGTCAGGGATATAAAATATTAGTAGGTATATAATCAATGATGTTCCTATGTAGAATGTTTTGGTTTGAGATGTATGTCAAGCAAATGCACAGCTACGGAGCCAAATTATTGTTCTCCTAAATTTATGCTTAAATGATTGCTTCTTCAATAGCAAGGTATTTTATTTCGTGCCGAAATGAAATTAAGAATTGGGACTCTCCACATTTTTATTATAGGAGGAAAAATCAAATGTGCATGGGTAAAGCATACAAAAAAAAAAAAAGTTTGTGGCTTTGAGGTTCGGATTTTAGATCAATCTTGATATTGGATGTCCGAATCTCAGACTTTGTACTGTATAGCAACCTGAAGATGAGAATACACAAAACTGACCTGTTCATAAAAAATATTACTCTTATTTGTTATCATATCACTGTTGATGGATTGCATTATAAATAATTACCATGGATAAGGATTTAATGTCATAAAAAATTGCAAAAATAAAAAATGCACAAAATACAAGAATACATGAATATATTATTTGCAAGAAATATCTCCCAAAACGGAAATTTTTACTTGAAAATTATTTCAAATCAGACTACAATTATCGTAATATAAAGCAATCTTGACCTATAAAGTAAATAAAAATATTAATTTAGAAACCACAATGTAAATTAGAAAAAAAAATTACAGCATGTTATCAGGGGGGAATTTTAATAATAGTGTTAAATGCCTGTGTTTCAAAAATCCAGCTTTAGGCAATTAAACGCTTTTATATATGGATCGGTTTCATTATTTTATATGTGTACATAATTCAACATTTAATTATTCTGATGAAATGCATAGTATAGTCCACAGCTTTATTAAATTTCATTGCATTAATGAAAATGAAGTAAATAGTAACTTGCATTTTACCTAACGAACAGTAAGAAACTTTCACTTTACCTAGAGGGGAGGAAGAAACCTTTTTTTTTTAGAGAGAGAGACTCAGAAAGAAATTGTAGAAAAGAAGGCTCAAAGAACAAAATTAACTAGAATTAAAATTATTTGCTTACAATGATTCAAACAATTTTAAGTTAAATGTGAGTGAATCATGTACCTTAATATGCAGTGGCAATAATGCTCATTTTTATTCTTAAACTAATGCATATATTAGTTGCATGAATAATGATGAGAGGTTACAACCGTTTTACGAAAGTAAATGTCTATTATAAAAATTTTCATAATCCGAAATGGTATACAATTAAGAAATATTTACCACTAATTAGTTTACAGATGGAAAAAAAATTAATGTTCCCAAGCTTTAGAAAAATGCCTTATATATCACACTAAAGAACCTGAAATAAAACTAAAAACAAGAATGATGTGATGAATGCACAATCTAAATAAATAGGAATAACCCATGCAGTTATTTTTTAGACACTTCTAAAATTGGAAGTGAACCCACGTGAAAGTTCTAAAATGATAACAATGAAGATGGTTCAGTTATTCAAGAAAAGTTATTGGTGGATGATGATGGATATAATCAATGCTTAATTCTCTTTTCTGTTAGAATGTGATGATTGGTGATTGTGTCTGCCATCACCTGCAACAATTGAGCTTAATATAAGATGCATCCAATTAACTATATCTACAATTTCTTAGCATGCTTGCCTAAATAATAATAATTAAGATTTGTTATCTGCTCTGACTAAGATGAAAGTTTGAAACTTGATACTTGAATTATGCTTGATTGTTCAGATTAGGGTTTGGCAAACTTTATTTTAGAAAGAGCCAGATCGTAAAAATTTTAGGCTCTGAAGGCGAAATAGCAAAAACATGAAGCTATGAATGGGTAATTTTCTCATGAAGCAAAAAAAAAAAATGTTTTTTTAATTTTTTTTATTATGAAGTAATACTTTTACATAATATTTATAAACATTTTACTAACACTTATAAAAAATGAGTAAAAGATTTCCATTTATATACTAAAAGCATGATTATTAAATACACTAAAATTTCTAATGCAAAGAATCTACTCGTTTTTAAGATAATATTTCATCATACTGTAGTTGAAATTAGTAATTCTTACCATTCAAGTTTTTGCAAATAGTCATCTGTTAATAATGATCTGAATTGCAATTTTACTT